CAGCTGAATGTACTTTGGTGTTCTGTAGTTGCCAAGAAAATTCTCAACATGCTTAAATGCTTTCTAGGTGATCTTCTGTGGCCCCACTAACAGATCTTCATATCATCAATGACACATCTGATCTGTGGAACAACAAAAATGCCTTCCCTAATTTTGGCATGATTTATGTTCAGAAACATCTGTCTAAAATAGCAAAAACCTTCACCTTCCTTATTCATTGATATCTGAAAAATTTTCATTAGTTTGAGTTGAATCTGCAAACATATCTTTGTTGCGTCAACAAGTGGTTCATGTGCAAATTTTTTTTGCCCTGAATACAGCTTGGCTGTTTCAAAAGACAGAAATTGAATGCCCATCTCATTCCTTGAGACCCTAAAAAGTCAGGACAGTACATATACCCATCAAATTACCCCTTTTTGGAAAGAAAACAGTCTGAGGTGTTTAGTAGGAGGCATGGTGAGTTTTTTTTTGAAGTTCTAATTTTTTTTTTTTCCACAATTGTTTGGAAAATTAAGACTTTTTTCCCACAAAATTGTCATACTAACAAGTTATTTCTCGCACGCGGCATAGGCATACTTGCAATTACACAAAATACATTTTGCTACTCCTGAACCTTACACAAACTTATCAAATCATAAGATATCTCTAACAAATAGCATGTACACTCCAAAATACATTCTGCTATTCCTCCTGAATATGGCCATACCACATGTGTAAGACTTTTTCCACAACCCGGCCACATACAAAGGCCCAACATCTAAGTTGCACCTTCATGTTTCTAACACATAGCATATACATACCAAGAATCACACCCCAAAATAAGGAGGAGAGTATTGGTCCAGGGCATTGGTTCAGACAGCAGGGAGGGACATGGTCAGTGACAACAAAAGGAATAGTCCAGGCAGTAGGCAGGAATACTGTCCATAATACAGGCAGCAAGCAGAGATATTGCCAGCACAGCCAAAGCATTGGTCTAGGCAGCAGTCAGAGACATGGTCAGCACAGCCAAAGCATTAGTCCTGGCAGTAGGGAGGAACAAGGTCCATAAGCAGGCAGTACTGATAGCAGGCAGAGGCATGGTCAGTTTGGTTGGCAGGCAGAGGCATGGTTGATTAACAGGCCAGGATCAGATGGCAGCAGGCAGAAACATCAGGCTTAGGGACTCGGTCAGGTAAGAACTGGACATCGGGGTAGAGGCTTCTTCCCACCCAAATCTTTTCAAAGCCACTGGTCTGCAGACCCTAATTCGAGAATTATAAAATCCAGAGAGAGCCAGAAAATTAGTTTTTCTCCACTTATAAATACTATTATTATTACATCGAGTTTATATAGCGCCAAAGGGTTTGCTCAGCGCTGTACAATAGGGGGGACAATACATGGCACAGTACAACAAAAACAGACAGCGTACGAGGGGTAAGAGGGCCCAACTCTTTCAAGCTTACAATCTAGGAGGGAGGGGGTAGTGGAACAATAGGAAGTGGCTGAGGGGAATGAAGTGGCTGAGGGGGATGAAGTGGTGGGAGGAATGAGGGAGGATGGCCGTTAGGTGGTGAGGGTGGGGTAGGCTTCCCTGAAGAGATGGGTTTTGAGGGAGCGCCTGAATGTGGGGAGGGAAGGCGACAGTCGGATGGATTGGGGCAGTGAGTTCCAGAGGATAGGGGAGGACCTGGAGAAGTCCTGCAGTCGTGCATGGGAGGAGGAGACCAGGGAGCAGGATAGAAGGAGGTCCTGTGAGGAGCGAAGGGTACGGGTAGGGTGGTACTTGGGGATCAGGTTGGTGAGGTAGTCAGGGGCAGTGTTATGAAAGGCTTTGTAGGTCAGGATTAGAAGTTTAAATTTGATGCGTTGGGCAATCGGGAGCCAGTGGAGGGAGAGGCAGAGGGGGGTGGCAGAGGTGGAGCGGGTGGTGAGGTGGATGAGTCTGGCTGCTGAGTTCAGGATGGTCTGGAGCGGGGGAGAGCCTGCACTTGGGTAGGCCAGTGAGAAGAGAGTTGCAATAGTCAAGGCGTGAGATGATGAGGGAGTGTACAAGAAGTTTGGTGGTGTCTGGGGTGAGGAAGGCACGTATCTTGGCAATATTGCGGAGATGGAGCCTGCATGTGTTTGCAAGTGATTTGACATGAGGGAGGAAGGAGAGGTTCGAGTCAAGAATGACGCCAAGGACTTTGGCTTGCGGGGCGGGAATGATAGTGGTGTTGGTGGTGGTGATGGATAGGCTGGGGGGGTGTGGGCAGGGGGAAAGACGAGGAGTTCGGTTTTGGAGAGGTTAAGCTTGAGGAAATGTAGCGACATCCAGTCTGAGATGTCGTTTAGGAGGTGAGTGATGCGGGCGGAGATAGTGGGGGTGAGGAGAGGGGTGGAGAGGTAGATTTGGGTGTCGTCAGCATAGAGGTGATAATTGAAGCCATGGGAGTGTATGAGTGTGCCCAGGGAGGAGGTGTAGATGGAGAAGAGAAGGGGTCCAAGGACAGAGCCTTGGGGGACCCCAACAGAGAGGGGGAGGGAGGGGGAGGTGGTACCATTGTAGGTGACGCTGAAGGAGCGTCGGGATAGGTAGGATGAGAACCAGGAGAGAGCGGTATCTCTGATGCCAAGGGAGAGTAGTTTATTAAGGAGGAGGGGTGGTCGACTGTGTCGAAGGCCGCAGAGAGGTCCAGGAGAAGGAGGACAGAGTAGTCGCCCTTGGCTTTGGCGTTTAATAGGTCGTTAGTGATTTTGAGGAGGGCAGTTTCAGTGGAGTGTAGGGGACGGAAGCCGGACTGTAATGGGTCAAGGAGGTTATTGTCAATAAGGTGGGCGCTTAGGCGATCGTAGACTATGCGCTCAAGGAGCTTGGAGGTGAGTGGCAGCAGGGAGATGGGTCTGAGGTTGTTGGGGTCCGCGGGATCCAGGGAGGGCTTTTTGAGGATGGGGGTGATATGTGCGTGCTTTAGGGGGGAGGGGAATGCGCCAGTAGAGAGGGAGAGATTGAAGATGTGGGTGAGGGAGTGGATGAGGGAAGAGGGGGGTGACCGGAGGAGTTGAGAGGGGATAGGGTCCAGGGGGCAGGTCGTGAGGCGGGCTTCTGAGAGGACCTTGACGGTTTCCTCAGTAGTGACAGGGCTGAGGGAGTGCAGTGCAGGGGGGGTTACGGTGGGCGGAACCTTGGGAGCGTTGGAGGGCAGTGCGCGGTTGTGAGGGCAGAGGAGGGGGAAGAAGAAGTGGTGACGGGGGTGGGGAGGCTAGGTGGGGAGGTAGATTGCGAGTTGACAATGTCCTTACGGATAGTGTCAATCTTGTTACGGAAATGGGTGGCAATCTCGTGGGCGGTGAGTGAGGTACTGAGTGGAGGAGGGGGGGGGGGGAGAGCAGGGAGTTGAAGGTGGAGAAGAGTCGGCGAGGGCAGGAGGAGAGAGTGTTGATTAGGTTAACAAAGTAGGCCTGCTTAGCGGCGTGGAGGGAGGAAGTGTAAGTGAGGAAGGCAGATTTGTAGAGGGAGAATGCGTGAGGGGACCTGGTTTTGCGCCACAGTCTCTCCAGTGCGCGACTGCGACGTTTGAGGCGTTTAGTGCTGTCATTCTGCCATGGTTGAAGCGGCCTGGGTTTGATGATGCGTGTAGTTAGGGGTGCCAGAGAGTCTAGGGCAGCTGACAGTGAGTCGTTGTACAAGGTGGTGGCTATGTCAGGACATGACAGTGGGAGGATGCTGTCGTGTAGGCGGTCGGCGGCTGAGTGGAGGGGGGCCGGGTTCTGGAGACCCTCACACATGTGAGACCCCTGTGTTGTCTTGAATCCCAGAATACAGTGGATGGCCAAAAGATCAGTTCAGGAAACAGGCAAAAAGCATGGTCACTTAAAAGGCCAAGGTCAATTCATGTGAAAGGCAGAAATGTGGTTGAGGTCATACAGGGAAATAGCAGATAGCAGATACTTGAAAAATAACTTTACTTCAAATTAACTTGACTATTAGTGTAGTGGTGTGTGATAGATCAGGAAGCACTCTCCAATACAGAGGGACATTGGGGACAGTAGTATCAGGTGTCACAGCACATTCTCTTACTGGAACATGCACAACATTTTCTTTTGGTAAGAGGTAGGGCATCAGGGAAATTCCATTGATGGAGTTTGGTCAATTAATCAGACAAAATTTGTTCAGGGGCATGGCCATGCGGATAGAGATGGGCTGTAACAATGTCCTCTTGGTATTTCAGGTAGGTTATCTCTGTGTGCACTTGGAAAAGATGAACTACGAATTGTACAGGGCTAACGGAAACAAGTAGATGACATTTTCATACTGAAAGATTGATCTCCTGGTGGCTAAGTAGGGCTGTAACATCTGGTGGTTCATATCCCCCCCCCCCCCATGAACTGGTTATAGTTTTATATGCATTTTTTTGTTTTCTGGATAGGACCTTGTCTTGTTTGAAGTTCCACTGAGGTGTCATCATGGATTGAGGAAAGGATATAGATATGTCTTGTATTTCTTCATTCCGTAAACTGCTGTTTCTCCCCGTTTTAGTTTTGTGGTGACCAATCTTTGTGGGACACACTTGGGGTTGGCCTGTGGTGTCCCACAGGCCACAGTTTGCTTTATATAGAGATCGAGGAATAGTGGGAGACTTGTGTAGAAATGATCTACATACAGATGGTAACCCTTCTCGAACAGGGGTTCTATAAGTTGCCAAACAATTTTGCCACTTCTCCCCATATAGGTAGGGTATCCAGGAGAGACTAGATGGCTGCGCTTTCCCTTATAAATTTTGAAGTTATAGGTGTATCCCGTGGCCCTGTGACATACTGTGTAGAATTTTACCCAATGCAGTATGTGGTCCATTTACTAGGGATGTACTGTTTAATGTCAAGTGGACTAGGGATTCATCAACATAAATATTTTTGTTGGGAGTAAACATTTCCTTGAAGATGATTAGTGGCCAAATTTTGAACAGTTTGTCTTAATCAGGATGATTTTGAGGAGGACACTGGGTATTATTATTGAAATGTGAAAAAACCTCATTGTCATCTCGTAGCGTGTTCTGGGCATGCAAGATGAATAGACTGGCATATGATGGTGATATGGGTTGGTTGGAGCAGAAAACATGGACATCATTTTTTTTGTCAGTCCCATGCAGGGGTGGACTGACCATTTGGAAAACTCGGGCACTGCCCGAGGGCCCGGAGTCAGTAGGGGGCCCCATGAGATGCCCCTGGTACCTTTTTTCATAGGCTTTTTTGAGTTTGGGCAAGGACACAGGGGCCCCATAATCCCCTATTGCCCGGGGGCCCCATGAGTTGTCAGTCCGCCCCTGGTCCCATGTTCAAAGTAAGTCCAAGAAAAATGTTTAATTCCTCCACGGTAAGGGGTTTCCACACAAATGGGTGGGCATATGACAAATTAGTTATACCCCTGAAGACACGTGATCGTGCGAAACGGCACTTGGTTGAGGTGCGTTGCAGGTCGGGCCGCCATTCCTTACTGATCTGCAACCTCTTGCGTAAGTTCTATATGGCGGCATGTGCACTCATATTTTTATCATTTCCTATTGAGGTATTGTATTCATCTTTGTTTTTACTTGTACATTAAAATCACTACACTTTGAGGAATTTTTCTATTCAACCGATAAATCCATGCTGGTGTGACTGCTTTTGATCTCAGGAGGTTTGAGAGGTGAACAGATGCCCAATTCTTAGCTTCAGAGAGGATTTCAGTGTGGACCTTGGGAAAGAGAGAGAGCTACTATGTTCTAAGTGCTCATTGTTGTTCTAGAACTAGACAGAATGCAGACTCGCCAGAACCATATACTATCTAACGGTGGAGGCTACACTATCGAGTGTCTCACATTACATGGTGGACATTATTATTATTTGAATACTGGGACTGTTCTTTTTGTCATCATAATTGGTGGACGTATAGAACATTTGGACATTGGAAGCACTTTATTTATTTTTGAATAAGAGGGCACAGGGTGATTTGTGTGCAATTTCTTGTAATTATTGTAGTACGGTGTTTCTTTATGTGATTTTTGAATTGGGGTGGTATATCTACTTATACTGCAAGCAGCTACTAATTAATATTAGATTTTTTATTTTAGAGCTGACTCCACATATTTGATACGATATGATAAATTAGGATTACTGGCATACAGATTACACTGCTCCACAATGTAATTTAGCAGATCATCAGTAAAAAAATAAATGAAAAAAAATTAAATTGGGGTAACATTTTCTGTTTGTATTTGAAGGCCTGGCTGCGCTGTAGGGTGAATTGTAGGTTCTGCCGGTTTAGCAGTCAGCCATGTAGGCAGGGGCGGACTGACAACTTATGGGGGCCCCCGGGCAATAGGGGATCATGGGGACCCTGTGTCCTTGCCCAAACTCAAAAAAGCCTATGAAAAAGGTACCAGGGGCATCTCATGGGGCCCTCTACTGACTCCAGGCCCTCGGGCGGTGCCTGAGTTTCCAAATGGTCAGTCCCCCCCTGGACAGTGGTGTAATAATATAGCTATGTTTGATTTATATACTATTATGGTTCAAGTATATTGATTAAATGTTTTCATTTGGCAGGGAACTGAAAATAAATTATTATTTAAATCTCTGAATTTAATGTTTGCTTATTATCTAATTTTTTCTTGGATAGTGATAAGACACAGATCCATTTTCTTGATGTTGCTGTTCATTTACAAAATAGGTTTTTAACATTTTTCGTAAAACCACAGATAGAAACAACTACTGAAGATGATGGCTTCCATCCTGCCTCCTTACAGCCAATGTATCAATGCAAGGAGGATTACCAGCATGGATGAACAGCTTGAGAGAAGAATAAAAAAGTGGGATAATTGAGCGCTAGAAATAATGTAGTATAAATATGTCAGTGGCTATGCACCAAAAGGCACCATATAAGACCTTCAAGAAGACAATAATAAAAAGGGGGTGCAGTGTTAGTAAAATCCACAAAAGGTCATAAAATATATAAAAATATAAAAATTATACATAAAAACAATAAATTCACATATAAATCATGCATAATAAAGTGATACTGTGCAGATATATATGCCAAAAAATATGTGGCTGATATTTGTGAAAGAGGTGTCAGACTCAATCAATTATATAGAAGTCCAAAGTGATAATGTGAGTGAGATCCCAGATGATCTTCAGACATCAATGGCTAGAACCATGGAAGAGGTTAGAAGAATGGGTATAGATTGCGCACTCACCAGATACGCAATCTTTATGCGCATTCGTGTTGTATAGAACATCAGATGTCCTCAGATAGGTCTGGTTAGATCTGGTCATGTATCACTCACCCACTCACCGCCTCATGGTACTGTCACACTGGGACATCCAGCCATCCAGCAGCAAAATCTGTCTATAGGATCAGGAAGTAGAGTCCAGGATGTGCCTGTGCATTAAAAATGAAGCTTGGAGAGCAGAGTCAGATGTAGGAGGTGCAGGGGGCCTTCTTCAGACCTGAGAGAAGGGTTGAGAAGTTGTAAGCTTTTATTGCCAAAGGTTATCAAAGTAATGAACTAGAAAAGGTTATTAGTGACCTCCAAGCACATGATAGGGAATTGCTAATTTTTAGTTTAAGACAAAAAAACATAATCAATTATATTCCATTCACACTTACTTATACCTCGTGCTCCAGTTATTCACAAACACTATCTAGAGATGATCGATTATCCATTGTCTTACAGCATACGCCTCTGTTGGCACACAGTCCAACAGCTTATGCAATCAAGTCATCCATATTGGTTTTCTTCCTGAGCCAACCCAGATCAGGTATTTGGCTTACATTTCTTGCATCGCCTAAGATTATGTACTGTGCGGTGTCTGTGCCCAATACAACTTTATCATGAGAGATGATACCTTTACACATCCCATCAGTGGATAGAGATTTCTTGCCTAATATGTTTGCAGCTGTAGCACATGTAATGTGATTTACTTTTTAAAATGTCCATATGAACTTAGATATGTGGGCCAGATCACCAGGAAGCAGGGGCGGACTGACAACTCATGGGGCCCCCGGGCAATAGGGGAAAACAAAGCAGAGGGTGTGTGTCCTCACACCTTCAGTACTCGCCGTATAGTAGATAAGATAAGCGGTGACGTCGCTGCCCCTCCCCAACGCGTTGCGCTACAGGGATTACGTAGCTTCGTCCGGGGGATAATGTGTCACATTATCGCTTTGTTTTCTACTGCCAGCTACGGCTATTGACATACCCAAAGCGCAATGTTATGTGTTACATGTGAGTGCATTATGGAAGCACATTAAGGTTGTTTATATCTCTGGGATAAGGCATTATATTCTTTATCTTTTCTTTTGCATGAGACATATGAGGAAAGGCATTGGATTAAGGAGCGGGTTAAAGGAGGGAGTATCCCTCACAGCCTTGCAGCCACACAGGCTCACAGCTCAACTGCAAAGATCCTATCATTATATTGAAGGAGAGTATATCTGTTTTTGCTGGAACTTTATCTGCTCAGTTGCACTTGGGACAGTACTGTTGATCTTTTTCACATCATATATTATCTAGTTTTTTATTTTTATATTTATTTCATTATGAAATTCTTTGTGGTTTATTTATGGAATATTTGCACATTTATATGAGAATTGCACATTCAGTGATTTGATATTATGGTCACTATTTTAATTTATCAATATTTTTTATATTTCCTTATATCAGCCACTATTAATTATATGTTGATTTTTTCACAAGCACTTTGCACATGGTATTAGAAAGCGGTAATGATTTGATTGATATTAAACGTACATGTTATGAGAGTGGGCAAACCAGCGACCTAATACACATACCGCATTTTTCGCTCCATAAGACGCACTTTTTTCCCCCCAAAAAAGGGGGGAAAATGTCAGTGCATCTTATGGAGCGAATATAAAGCGGCCGGTCCGGTATTTCTGCCGCCACCATGTCAGAATACCGGGCTGGCCGCTCAGCTGTTCTCTACCACAGGACCTTACCTGTTCCTCGCTCCAGCGCTGCACAGTCTTCCCGCGTTGGCTTCTGTGACAGCCGGGTGCCCACTGCGCATGTGCTGCGCTTTGTGAATGATCCGGTGTCTTCTGGGACACATGACAGGTCCCAGAAGGCGCCGGGCCATTCACAAAGCACAGAGCTTCTCGCGCATGCGCAGTGGGCACCCGGCTGTCACAGAAGCCGGCCCGGGAAGAAGAGGGAAGGACAACTCCGCAGAAGTGGGAGCGGGTACCTGTCAAATTCAGGTACCCACTCCCCCTCCCTCCCCCAAGGTCAGCAGTCTCTGGTCATCCCCTTCACTGTCTGCAGTCTCTGGTCATCTCCTGCACTGTCCGCAGTCTCTGGTCATCTCCTGTACTGTGTCCGCAGTCTCTGGTCATCTCCTGTACTGTGTCCGCAGTCTCTGGTCATCTCCTGTACTGTGTCCGCAGTCTCTGGTAATCTCCTGTACTATGTCCGCAGTCTCTGGTCATCTCCTGTACTATGTCCGCAGTCTCTGGTCCTCCCCTGTACTGTGTCCGCAGTCTCTGGTCATCTCCTGTACTGTGTCCGCAGTCTCTAGTCATTCCCTGCACTGTCTGCAGTCTCTGGTCATCTCCTGTACTATGTCTGCAGTCTCTGGTCATCCCCTGTACTGTGTCCGCAGTCTCTGGTCATCTCCTGTACTGTGTCCGCAGTCTCTGGTCATCTCCTGTACTGTGTCCGCAGTCTCTGGTCCTCCCCTGTACAGTGTCTGCAGTCTCTGGTCATCTCCTGTACTGTGTCCGCAGTCTCTGGTCATCTCCTGTACTGTGCCCGCAGTCTCTGGTCATCCCCTGTACTGTGTCCGCAGTCTCTGGTCATCTCCTGTACTGTGTCCGCAGTCTCTGGTCATCTCCTGTACTGTGTCCGCAGTCTCTGGTCATCTCCTGTACTATGTCCCGCAGTCTCTGATCATCTCCTGTACTGTGTCCGCAGTCTCTGGTCATCTCCTGTACTGTGTCCGCAGTCTCTGGTCATCTCCTGTACTGTGTCCGCAGTCTCTGGTCATCCCCTGTACTGTGTCCGCAGTCTCTGGTCATCTCCTGTACTTTGTCCGCAGTCTCTGGTCATCTCCTGTACTGTGTCCGCAGTCTCTGGTCATCCCCTGTACTGTGTCCGCAGTCTCTGGTCATCCCCTGTACTGTGTCTGCAGTCCATTGGTTCAGAATATTTTTTTTTCTTGTTTTTCGCTTCTAAAACCTAGGTGCGTCTTATGGAGCGAAAAATACGGTAATTGTCAGTATACCTCAGTGGCTCACAAGTTAATTAGTACTCATATTTTGATCTTACTATTA